GGCGAGTCACCTCAGGAAGCCTAAGACATGGGGAGGAAAATAGAATGAAAAATAAAAAATGATGAGGTCTCATTAGTTTTCAGTCTCTTTTTGAAAGCATATCTTCACAGCCTTAGCTGTGGATTGATATATTAGATGTACAGTACTCTGCAAAAGTTAGAAACCACACTTCATTTATTAACATTCCAGCAAAAACATTAAGTACAAGTTAGTTTCAGGATATGTAAAACATATATAAATAGAAGATATTCCACTTGTATGAGGTAGTTAAAAAATAAAAAATAAAAAACAGGAGTTTCCAAAACTAAAGTGGAAGAAAAAATATGATTAAAAGATGTAGAGAAAATAGGACTCCTAACAATCATACAAGACCAGATAAACAGTCCTTTAAGAGATCAAGTTCCACTCTTGCTTCATTTCCGACAAAAACCACAGGTGTTTCTCCACTGTGAGAAGACAACTCAGTGTTATGGGCCTCCTGAAAGGAATGGAAGCTGTCATAAAGGCAAAGTCAGGACACTTAAATACTGAATATTCTGACATTATATTTAAATATTGAGGCTTTTGTGTAATGTTGTGTTAAAATATGTTTCTCACTTTTTTCCTGGTGCTGAAAACAGGGGCCTAGCTAGAACTTTTAGAATGGCATGGCCAGGTAAGACTCACAGATATTATTGTGGTGGCACACTGCCACAATAGAAAAAATAAATAAAATCTTGTTACTGTACTAAAATTACACAAAAAGTGATGCTTTGTTTTTTCTTTGTACAAACTAAATCTGTTCATATTTCCACATGAATGTCTGTACAATTATTGCTCAAAGTAAACTAAGAGATAAAACTGTGGTGATGTAACATATTTTAGTAATTCATGAGGAAATTATGTATTTAAATCAAGTAAATTGAATATTTTTTCAGTGCAAAACATTTCATATAGACACACCATAGATGTTATTCATTTAGGAGTTCATTTAGTCTAATGATTAGAAAGCTAGCCAGACAGCACTGTATAAGTTAACCTAAAACACATACATGTATACAACTGTTAAACGAAATCAGTTAGCATGATAAACAATTATAGCTAACTCATTTTTTATAGTTATTGTACCAATAAATTGCCTACTTTATAATGTAGCTCAAAGCTGCATGGCTGAAAGGACCCAGTGCGCATTCACCCACCTGTTTGGTCAGCCAATTAACCCATCTCAGCAATTATTAAATACAGCCTCACCAAAATCCTATAACTGATTGGTAAATACCCTGTAGCAGATTTTTACTGTAAGCATAGTTGGTGCTTTACTGATGATGGCTGACTGTCTCATTTTCTTTAACTGGGGTGGCCCTCTGATGGCCATGCTTCATTCTAGGGTGGCACTGGCCACTCCTGGCCACCCCTTGACTACACTTCTGGCTGAAAAATAAATAACTTGTACTTTTGACTGTAAATTAAAAAACAATGTAGGATGCTCTCTGACTTTTGCACTGCACTGTATATTCCAGCCAATTTTTGCTCAGCATTTTGCAGTGTTTACAAGGGCATCCTTCAAAGGTGACAGCACATACACAAAAGTGCCTTGTACCTGCACTCATTGACCAGTTTATCAGGTATATCTACCATAGAAGAAAGTACACTTTGTGGGTATACAATTACTGACTGTTGATCGCCTGTTGCTGCTTGTTGTGATCCACTCTCCACTCCATCAATGGAACAACCATATGACTGCCATTGAACTGATATTACACTGGCAACTCTAAGTGTAACAGGTCAGATCTTACCTGGTCATGGTTTCAGTGGGAAAAAACTGCAGCTCGTTGTTATCAAGGCTGATACGGGTGAGAGTGAAGAGGCCAGCAAAAGCCTCAATGTCAAGGTAATTGAGAGCGTTGTGACTGAGCCGCAACCACTTGATGTTCTGCAGTCCCTGAAAAGCCATGTTTGGTATGTATACCAGTTGATTGTGGGTGAGAGAGAGGAGGTTAAGAAAGCCCAACTGTGAGAAAGCGCCGGGCTGGATTTCCTCTATTCTGTTGTGGTCAAGGAGCAGCTGCTTCAGGGAGGACAGCCCGTCAAATGACTCCTGTGATCCAGATGAAGTGTAGAACTGAGCTTCATAATTACACTGAATATGCACAGAACCTAATAGTGCTAAAGAAATACAGCCTACACATGAATGAATTAGGCCTTGTATATAAATAAGGCTTCACCTGATAGAGGATCTCAATGTTGTTGTAGGCCAAGTTGAGGAAGACCAAGCGGCCAAGACTGCGGAAGGCTCCTTCTCGCACTTTATGGATTTTACTGCGTTGGAGGGACAAGTGAGTGAGGTAAGGTGTATGTGTGAAGGCGCCTGTGGGAAGCTCCTGCAGGTTATTACCTCTCAGGTCCAGCTTCACTGTGATCTGGATAGAGTGACACAGTAATAGCTTTAGCGCTGTATATAGGTTAATCATTTCTTGAGGCCTATTCAACTTACAGTTTGATGATATTTTAAGTTTACAATTGAGACAGAATGAATGTACCTCATCAATGGTAGGTGGAATCTCAGTTAGGTTCTTGTTAACACAAGCCACTGTAAGCTGGATACTGTCACATATGCAGAATTTGGTGCACTTCCCTGACTTCACTTCATGGATGCGGAGGAGAAGCAGTAATGTAAATGGCCACAAAAGCCGTCTGCACATCTTGACCTGTATGTACAACACAGAAAGCATGAAGCTTATTCTCATTCTTTGACATATACTTGATTTTTGTTTCTAACGGGTTTTGTACTGTGATCTCGGCTATAGCTATAGAAAAGTTGTTTAATCCTCTGTAGCCTAAATTCAGTTTACTTATGCTGCTGCAAAACCCACATTCCAGTGGTGGAAAAACAAAAGGAAAATCTTATTGTACGTCCAGCAGTTTCAGACTGGATGGGATTAGAGCAGGAATGTCTGACAAAATCCCATTAAAACATTAATGCCTGTTCCAAAAATATAACATTTAAAGTTTTTAAGCACGCACTATACGAATAATGGACAGTTAAGTCACTAACACAAACTTAACTTTGCGAAATGGATGATTGGGGTGCTTTTGACCATTGTCTCATAAAAATTTAACTCAAAACCAAACATAAGAAAAGATGAATTTAACCACTGAAATGTGTCAACATGTATTTTGGCCGACAATGGCAAAGAGTGGTAGGGTTGAGTTTGTAGGATAGAAATAGCAAATACACAAAATGTGGTAATAACATGCGGACATTAAGGACATTCTAATGACTTCATTTTTTTTTTTTTAATGATCAATTTATTTTCAATAGGCCCCAGCACCCCCGCAACTCGGGAGGATAAGCGGCCTCAGATAATGAGTGAGAGTGAGAATTAATCTTCAGCCTGTAATTTGATAGGAGTAAATGTGTTCAGTGAGTGAATGTTGTGGCACACAAGTAAAATGTACATTTTCATCCATAACCTGTAATGGAGAATGGATGACTCATGAAAAAGAATATTTCTCACATTAATATAAAAATTATACAATTTTTGAAGCACTGACACTGTAAATACTGTACGCTGTCAAAAGTGTCTCGTCAGATCTACTTAAAAAATTACTTTATGTGGTAACAAGTAAATTAACTAGTTTTATTCAACCTAAATCAATACTTTGAATTAATGATTCTTTCAAAGTAATTTTTTGAGTTGAATAAAACTAGTTCATTTGCTTGTTACCACATGAAGTAATTTTTAAAGTAGATCTGACAGTGTAGATAGGTTTAGTAATGTTTTATAGATTTAGACAGGCTTTTTTAGTGTTTTAAGTAATTTACCTGAAACAAGGACACTTCACTGTTTAAAATATCTTTACATTTACTTTACATATTTGTAAGTGTGGGTCACAATCCGTGAAATCAACAAATTAACTTGACTTCTGCTTACCTTCTGTCCTGCAAGTTTAGTCGATCAACAGGCTGATGAATTTCTCTGTCTGAGTGAGGCCCCAGTCCCCAGTTTGCATGAACACATCCACCTTTATTTATTAGTAATCTATTTATTACCACCTTTATTAATTACTAATTCTATTCTGTATATTCTGTAAGTCCTACAACAGGAGCATATGTCACAAAAATACCTGAGTGGGACTATTCAGACATTCAGTTGCTCAGCTATGGCAAAGGAAACACAGAGAGGAATGTGCAGTGGTGAGGGGTGTGTATGTGTGTGTATGTGAGAGAGAGAGAGAGAGAGAGAGAGAGAGAGAGAGAGAGAGAGAGAGAGAGAGTGAGAGAGAGAGAGAGAGAGAGAGAGCGAGAGAGAGACCACAGTTCAGTTGCCGCACTGACTGCACACAAAGACGCAGTGTTTCACTCAAGGCTGGAAAGCAACCATTAGGTAAATACGTATCCCCTTGAATTATTCTCTGCTAGCACAGCTCTGTTGGCCCATTTAAATCCGATGTTATTGGTTACTTGTTTTATAGTCTATTTTCATTGTGCATAAAAGTGCAGTAAGCCCTGAATCAAACTAACCACAAACATGAGCCCTAAATCCTAACCCTCCTCCACTCTGCAGCCCAACATTTCATTCTCAACATTATCCTCACAGGCAGGATACTCGCAGGCAGGCTCAAAGTCCGTCAGCTGATAGTAATGAGCCCTGTCCCTTTCACTAGTCCTCCCTCAGCAGTCTCCCCAAACTAAATAAACTTTATTTATCCCCCCATTCAGTGCAGCCCAGCGTGCTCTAGTGCCCAAGATTAACACAGCACCTCACCCAGACCCGAATGCTCTGAAGTATCAGTGCTGTAAACCCACTTCTGAGTTTAAAAACACTACGTTTAATTATCATACAGCCAGTGATAAATTGCTTCAAACCAAATTCAAATAAATTAAATGCAAACATGTCACAACAGTATACCATTATATAACCATTTACAACTGCTCTTGATAAACCTACTTCTTAGACTTCTTTTAAATCTGGCAAGAAACCAAATAAAACAGACAAAAAGCTTTTTTTCACCAAAAAATAATTCATCACTTTAATTCAAATATAATGGAATGGACCAAATACAATAGTACAGCTGAGTATCACACATATCTTGTGTACAATACTTTCCAAGTTTTTCTTTGTTCCCTTTTCCAGCTGTTCCCTGAATAGTTCAACTACAAAGAAAAAAAAAATAAAACCACCAATTCTACCATTACTTCATACTTAATTTAACATTCCTTGTCAAATATATCAGTGTGTAGAGGTGCTTCTTTGTGCTACACTACAATGTAACTGCCATCAGTCAGTAGCTCATATTCACTGCAATTTGATTCTTCAGCACTAATCACTTTTCATTCATTATCTTTTTTTTTAAGTTTATATATTTTATGTATGAAAATAAAGATATGTTAAAAATGAGATGCCTGAAACTCTAGTAAAGCTCTACTGGTGGAGGAATGAAAAAAGCAAAAAAGAAGCAAAAAAAAGAAAAACAAAAAAAACAAACACTTGCATACTTTTAAGCTTGTTTCACATTACTGATTCAGTCTGGCATTAAATAAACAAAAATGTTGGGTGACACCAAACTCAGTCAAGAATAGAGTAAAACAGTTTTACATCAAGGAAACTTTCAAATCACTTTAGTTTTTGTGCCAATTATACTATGCCTGATAATATCAGACTAAATGTCAATTTCAGGAGTGCTATACAATATGGTTTCTTCTTCAAGTATTCTATCCATCTGAATAATCACAAAGTACTGACTTATCCAACTAAAAAAGTCCACAGATTTCTACCACAGTTATGTCAGACTGAATCTGTGCATGAATACTGCATAAGATTTGCAAGAATTTTAACCAGGCTATTTTTTTCCAGTAATTTTGGCTTATGTTTTGTTTGTAATCATGAGGCACTAGTTTACACTGTACTTTGTACATTTCAGACCAGGTAATTGCACACATTTATCTAAATGTATGCAAAATTTACACATTAAGATGTAAACAATGCCATTCAGAGTGGTTTGATGTGAAATGCTCCATTCTACAGAAATTTAGAGTCAGAATTGTGATGGTGATAGGAACCAGATATCTGAATGTTTAATTACCACTGTTTTACCACTATCAACTAAATTAAAATGCTCAAACGACATGTAGGCTCACTGGTCGTTTTGGTTAATGAATTAAAATAGCTACATTTGCGTTGTAGACATCACAACCCCTGGTTCCAATCACCACCACTGTAAAGAAATCCAAGTTGGTAAGTTCTCTGTAATACTAATAATACTAATAATAATCATTTCACATCAGACTGAATTATACTGACACTTTGACAAATCGGTGGGGTTCCCTTTAATTACCTCTTCATTATAGGCAAGATTCAAATGATATTTTCAACATGACTGTCTGTTAGAGTGGTTGCTAAATTCTACATTGGAAAGTCTCTGTGAGCATTTCAGGTTCAGTACTTGGCCTGTGCGTTTGACCCGTATGATGTGTTCAGTGGCTGTGTACAACACAGGGAACTAAGCAGTGATCCTTTTCTCCAGTGTGGTTTTAAGGGCATCTCTAGCATTGGAACAAGACTCTAAGACTTTGCCATTTCTGAAAGACAAATATACACAAATTAATATGGTTATTACAGATAGTGATAGCAGAGGGATTTCTCAAGAAAGAAAAACTACTAATACTGTAATAGCTAACTTTGAAAAAAAACATGAACCAACCGGGTCAAAAAGATCTCCAGAACATCTGCCTGGTCCACAGGAAAGTAGTCCTGCCCAACACAGTGCTCCAGAACAATAAGATGACCAGGCAAGACACACACTTTCTTCATCTTTTCCTCACCCTGACATAATAGCAGGTAGCAACAGGCAAAGTGTGAGATAATGAACCATACTGACATGTCAGAAATAATCTGATTGAGAGTGTCAAGGCGAAAGATACAACAATCACATTAATAAAAGTGGTACCTTTAAAAGCCCCAGGTTCACCATCAGTGAGGAGACAAAAATGTAAGACTGAAAGCGAGGACTGGAAAATGCTTTCCTCAAAAGGGTATCTGTACAACACAAAGGACGAGAGTTTCAATAATGAAGGAAAAAAATACTGGCTAATTTCAGACAGAAAACTACATATGGAATAAAGCATTGTGCTCATACCAACAGTTTCAAAAACGACTTGCTTCACTTCTGCCTCCTCCTTATACACTGAGGTGATCTGAAGAAAAACCTCTGCAATTTTAGTAGCATCTGAAAAATCAAGCTGATACATCGAGGGACAGATTTTAGCAATTATCCAGCAAGACATGGATCACAGATAATTAACATTGCCTTGGTATAGAAATTAAGCAAGCAGTAAGTATAAGGTTATCAAGCAGTACAAAAAAATAAGTGCTTTGAAAACGTAAGAAACATAACAGGTCTGACAGGCTGTCCCAGCAATCTGTTATACCTGATGCTCAATTAACTGTGTCCTCTTGGCTCCAAGGTTAAGCAATTTCTCTGATGTTGGGGAATGTAGGAAGGATAAAAGGTCTGGACTGCAGAGAGTCACCTGTGAAGAAGGAATAATTTTTATTATCTTGGCTTCCCCTGTTATTGCCAGCATTTGTAAATGAAGATTGTAATATGTGCAATTTATGTGGAATCTATATACAAAATAGACAGTCAATTTTACCTTCGCTGGACTTCCACCACCATTTTCATTTGTCCCATTTACACAGTTCTGCTCTTCATCATCTTCTTCTGTATCCTCATCGTCCTCTTCTTCCTCATCTAGCTCCCCTTCATCATCACTACAATTATATATTTCAAGGAAAATGAAATGAATTGGCAGAACAACTTTGCACAATAATCAAGAAACTCAAGAACTTTTACTTTCTCTATAGGATTTCAGTTTACGGCAAAAATTTCAGCCAGATCCCTGGTCCTGGAGTACCACTGCCCTGCATATTTTTTTTCCTGCTAAAAAATGGCCAATCTAACTAATCAGCTAATTATCAAGCCTGTCCTGAGCTTCAAAATAAATATCGGCATCTCATATGTCTCTCTCATATATATATATATATATATATATGTATATAAAAGAAAATCTCGTATCTTCATTTTTGTCATTTTTCAGTTTTTGGCATAATTTGAAAATGTCTGTTGCCCTTTACATTGTTTGTAAATTTCAGATCAAGAATGGCAAGAAATTGCTAAAATGTGTAGGGCAAGGATACTACAGAACTGTATCATTAGGTTTTTTCTTTAAAGGAGAGTGGGGACATGAAAACTTGCAAACATCAATAATATATTCAGACCAACCAAGGCAATAAACAAAAATATGCACTGAAAGAAAGCATTTACAATATTCTGCACTTAAAAGAGCAGCACAATACCTGAGCGAGCCAAGAACATCTGCCCTGTTCACACTTTCCCAGACCTCTTTAAGAGCTTCACAGCCATCCTCTCCCAGGCAGTTTCCTGTCCACCCAGAAACACTTGTTCAGTTCAATTATAACAGTCCTCCAATCAGTCCTTAAGGCTTTTAGATTCACTTCAGGTCCCAATCTCTTCATTATTTTACATAATGTCAGCATATTTAGGACTATTGTTTCTAAAATAGTAGCAGTGATTAAGTAACTTAGGAAACTTACATAAAATTAAGTAATGATTACTTTTTTGCATTCTACTGGGATTGTGCTAACGTTTTTCCATTACACCAGACTTTGATTTGTTATTTGATACAAGTTATTTAATATGTTATGGTAGATAGTGAAGTGCAATGTATCACTCCAGAGAACACATTTCCACTGCTTCAGGGACCACTCCAGCTGACATAAGGCATTGCATATAGTGATCTTAGGCTTGTCTGCAGCTGCTCAGCCATGGAAACCCATTTCATTAAGCTCTCGACGCACATTTCTTGTGCTACCGTTGCTTCCAGAGGCAGTTTGGAACTGTAGTGATTGATACAACAGAGAATTGATTGATACAACAGAGACAATTTTATGTGCTATGTGCTTCAGTACTCTGTGACCCCGCTTTGTGAGTACGTCTGGTCTACTGCTTAATGACTGAAATGTTGTTGCTCCCAGACACTTTCATTTCACAATAATAGCACTTACAGTTGACTGGGGCAGATCTATCAGGGTAAATATTTCATGAATTGATTTGTGGCATAGCTGTCATCCTATGACAGTATCATGTTTAATGTCACTGAGCTCTACAGTATGACCAATTCTTCTGCCAATGTTTGTCTATGGGGACTGCATGGCTATGTGCTTGATTTTATGCACCTGTTGGCAAAAGGTGTGACTAAAACACCTAACCACAATAATTAGAAGCATTCACACACTTTTGGCCATATAGTGTATGTTAACATTGTCAAAATGAATTACCATTGAGGTCCAGTTTCTGTAGATCAGCTTTGTCCCGTACTGCCCTAGCAACTACCAAAGCTGCAGCTTCTGAAATCTCCCCAAAAGACAGATTGAGCTCCTATAGACATGAAACACATCAAGTAGTTTGTGGGTTTAACTGCAGTTTTATTACTGTTTAAATGTTTTTTTCATGCAAATTCCACAGGAAAATGTGAACAAATCTAATTATTAATAATTAATAGTTGTAGCATTTATATACAAACAAACATCAATAAATTATCAAATTGATAAAATACTGACCTTGAGAATAGGCAGTCCTTCTCTTAAGGCTGCTGCTATAGCAATAGCACCTTCAGAACGTACCAGACAGTCTCCAAAATTAATCACCTGAACGTTGCGCAGGTGCCTGAGAGCCTGAAAACAAAATACATATACTCTAATAATCACACACACATTAAGGTTTTCTTAAAATTTGCCAAGTTCATGAATATAACCAAGTCTTTACATGTGAATGTCTTTTCCTGTGCTGTCATAATGAAATAAATAAATTCATTAAAAATAAATAACAGTTACTTCTATTATATTTTCTCTTTGGGGCTATTAAAGGGTAGGTTGACTGCAACCACAGGTACAGTGATAAATATTGGTGAATAACTTCATTAACATTGGAATAATTTTGACAATCTTTTATAAAATATCAATATGGCAGTTCTGGGGAAATCTTTATTACGTGGACTTAAATGTGGATCATACCTGGGCCATGGCTACTGCTCCTCTTTTGGTAAACGTATTGTCATTGAGGTTGAGGACACGGAGGTTGAGATTGTGCTGCATTGCAGTGGCCAAAGCTGTGATTCCAGGATGGTTGATCCCATTCTGTGGCATGTGAACCTCCTCAAGACTACCAATCATCTGTACAAAAAAAGCAGAGGACAGTCAAAGTGAAAATGTCAATATGATTACAGTTGCAACAGAGGAAAAGACAAAAATAAAAACATTTCATTGCCTGAAAAGAACGGGCAAGAGCAATGGCACCATCATTCTCCAGACGATTACGTCCAGCTACGAAGACTTTCAGCTTCAGAGGGGAGCCGGCAGCACTTGACTGCTTGTAGCATTCAGCTAATGCAGAGGCAAGGATCTAGAAACACATAAGTCCCACAGTTTTAAGAAGTGATGACAAAGCTTTTAATTTTGATCATTTAACTCTTCAATGTTAAACTACCACCACTTACTATTCCCCCTCCAATGCCCATGCCACAGTTATTGAACCTGAGTTCCTGTAGAGTATGGCACACAGAACTCTTCAGGAGGGCCTCGATGCCCTTTACACCATCTGGACCAAAAGCGTTGTCACTTAAGTCCAGTTCAGTAAGCCTGGTCCCTGAGGTCATCAGTGCACTGCCCAGTGATTTCTAAAAGGGTATGGTTTAGGTTATTGTTATTGCATGTTCAAACAATTATTTATAACTTACATCATCAACCTAGTCAGTGACTCACCAAGGCAGGAGGAATTTCAGAGCGAAGGCGACCTGTAAACATGTCACTCCAGTGACATCGCTTAGAGAATAAAACAAAGAATGGAAACAAACAATTATCAGTTTATGATAATACCTCATAAATATCTCAAATAAAGGTAATAAAGTACCTGCAGTTCCTTTTTGGACTCAAGAGCCTTTGCAATGGCCTGTGCTGCTTCCACCCCAATAGTATTTCCTTCCAGTCTCAATGCCTTCAGACACTTGCACTGTTCTATCTCTCTAGCTATCTCTTCCACTAGAGGCAGAGAAAATGACATTGCCTCATTTGTTACAGTACCCTAGGGTCAACACTGTTCTCAAATGCAAGAGAGGACAACCACACAGGTTCACTTGACAATTATCCACATTATGCTAATATCGAATTACTTTCACACCTGATTGCTTGTCATCCAGTTTCAGTCCTTGACCCTTGTAGCATAACTCTTCCCCAACATGAGTCTTAGCCAGTGCTTCTGTAAGCTGAGCAATATCTTCAGAAGCCATTCGTTTTCCCTTTGAATTGCCTAGCCATGAAAGCATAATAAAAACATAGGTTTCAGGTTTCTGATTTCTGTATATGTATATATGTGTGTATATATATATATATATATATATATATATATATATATATTTATATATATATATATATATATGAACAAAAGTATTGGGACACCCCTCCTAATTATTGAGTTCAGGTGTTCCAGGCACACCCATTGCTAACAGGTGGATAAAATGAAGCACATAGGTTTGCAGTCTCAATAGACAAACAACGGCAGTATAATGGGTCGTACTGAAGAGCTCAGTGACTTTAAACATGGCACTGTCATAGGATGCCACCTCTGCCTCAAGTCAGTTTGTGAAATGTCTGTCCTGCTAGATCTTCCCTGGTCCAGTGTAAGTGCTATTATTGTGAAATGGAAGCACCAAAGAGAAACAACAGCTTAGCCATAAAGCAGTAGACCACGCAAACTTGCAGAGCGGGGCCGCTGTTGATTCACCTGCTGAATAGCTGTTGCTTATCTTCTGTCGAAACAATCACTAAAAAGTTCCAAATTGCCCCTGGAAGCAACATCAGCAAAAGAACTGCACATTAGGAGCTTCAAGCAATGGGTTTCCATGGCCAAGCAGTTACTCACAAGCCTAAGAACAAAATGCAAAATGCCAAGCATCGGGGGGAGTGGTGTAAAGTATGCCGCCACTGGACTCTGGAGCAGTGAAAACGTGTTCTGTGGAGTGCATGAGTCATGCTTCTCTATTTGGCAGTTTGATGGACAAATCTGGGTTTGGTGAATTCCAGGAGAACATTACCTGCCTGACTGCATTGTAAAGTTTGGTGCTATGGGTTTGTTTTTTGGGGGTTAGCAATTGTACGCTTCTAACTTTGCAGTACAAGTTTGGGGAAGGCTATTTCCTGTTCCAGCATGACTGTGCCCCAGTGCACAAAGCAAGGTCCATAAAGGCATGGCTGGGTGAGTTTGGTGTGGAAGAACTTGCCTGGCCTCACAGAGCCCTGACCTCAACCCCATCAAACACCTTTGGGATTAACTTGAACAGAGATTATGAACTAGGCCCTCTCATCTAACATCAGTGTCTGACCTCACCAATGCTCTTCTGGATGGATGGGCAAAAATTCCCACAAACGTTCCAAAATCTTATAGAAAGCTTCCAAGAAGAGTGGAAGCTGGTATAGCTGCAAAGGGGGGACCAACAGAAATTTCACAAACTGACTTGTGGCAGAGATGGCATCCTATGACAGTGCCATGTTTAAAGTCTCTTCTGTACATTTATATACATAAACACTTTCATTCACCATTAACTTTCTAGATCCGTAAATCAAAGATAGTCACAATATAACACAATAACTAGTCAGAGAAAGAGCATGTGGTCTGCTAGACAGCTAGCATCTTTAATTCACAGACTTGTATTAACTTATAGGATTTTTAAATACCAGTTAACGTTAGCTAGCTAACTAGCATTAATCCACACCTTAGATATTAGCATAATCAAGGCTTAAACCTTTTAATCACATATCGATTTTACTTCACTAACGTAGCTAGTTATATAGGTAGAGAGCTGGTTTTGCTTAACTTAAAAACAGTAAACAAGCTAATGTTTATTATTAAGACTAAAATGAACTATTGTGTTAGCTGGCTAGCTAGCTAGCTAACCGCTAAGTCGAGAGCACAGCAACAACCAACCTAGGTTACAACTTTTTTGGCTAACGGACTAGTTCACTGTCATTTTTATTAATCTAAAAGCTAGTTTATTAGTTTAGGCGTTCGGACATTACCAATCAGATATTAAATGTACGTTGCTGATGCTTCCTTCACACTTCAGACTTCAAGCTGAGTAACTCTACTAGGTTACCCTCCGTTTACCGCTTACACTATCTCACAACACGGAACGCATGGAGGCAGGAATAAACCCGGTGCCGGTTCCTGTTTTTTTTTCTTCAAAATAAAAGTAAGGGCACTTGTTAAAGTATGGCATAAAGCTACTCTGAAAAAGTTGGGCACGATTCAGTTGCTTGCCTGTTAAAAATACATTAAAAACTACTGATTTGCAGATTCAAGCCTAAAAGCTATTATATTAGAGACATAAAGAATAGGCTTTGAAAAAGACACCTGACAAGTTGGTAAGTATAATGACAGGACAAGTATAGTGAAGAAAGTGAACACTTGTTTGGATTCTACTACTCAAAGTAAAAACGAGGGAGCAGGGTGTCAAATAATTTGATTGATCTAAAGAGCTGTAGTCAAGTAAATCCTAATGTGAGTTCCACTAAGCCCACCAGCTGAAGTACAGCAACCAGCATAACCGCATCTAACCACAGCAGTCAATTCCTTACCATGAAGACTTGTCCAATTTATTAATCATACACATCTCGAAAGTCTGAATATGAGGCATTATTTGAAGTTTGAACATTTTTCAGATTTTCACTTTTAATGATTAACTCTTTTTTTGTTATATATATATATATATATATATATATATATATATATTACTTTTTGTCATATGAAGTTTTGTAATCTACGTATGTAGCTAGCAATCTTTTTCAGAATGCCTTTGCCGAGACAGCAATATGATTATATGTATGTTTATATGGGCTACATTGGAATGTTCTGCTCAACACTGCCCCAGTGGCCTAATGGATAAGGCACTGGCCTCCTAAGCCAGGGATTGTGGGTTCGAGTCCCATCTGGGGTGATTCTAATTTTCATGTTGTTTAATCCTGTGAGAACTTCTGTTTTCTGCGACCAATAGTCATGTTTCATACACATCTCAAAAGTCAGAATGTGAGGCATTATTATTATTAGTACTAAAAATGTTTTCAATATTATCAATGTAATTCATATAGATATTATATGTATATACATAAGTATATATAATGGCAAAACATTAAGCAAACGTTAAGAAACTTACTTTGTTGCTTATATGAAACAATAACATTTTAATGCTGTTTTCACAGTTTTATTATGTTTCACACTAAAATTGCATTGATGATATTGAAGACATGTCATAGCAACATTCATGTTTTTATATAATTAATTTAATACCACTAAGGACATGATGTTATCTTGATGTCATAGTGAAATTTAAACAAGGTTGAAAATTGAAGACAGGCTGAAAACCTGCAATAAAAACATTGAAATTAGGTTGGTATGTTGCATGTGTGCGCTAGCCACCGTGTACTGCTAATTCAAAACCATGGAGCATGCACTAACTAATGTGGGCCAGGTGTTTAGGAACACACAGTGGGCGTGGGGTAGGTTATCTGTGCCTTGAACGGTCAAAATGACCCCTTTTAGCAATATGGATGGACACTGCTGTGCAAAAATAACTGCAGAAAAAGACGCTGAACGTATAAACAACTGGAAACTGTTTGCTGCGTGAGGAGTGGATTTGTGTTTTACATCCTAGGCAGCAATCAAGGAGCATGGGTTCGAGTCCCACCGCTGCCAGAACAGTTTTGAGGAAGAGCCTGGGCCATGATACAGAAATGAGAGTTTCTTTATCGCATCTCTATAATTCTATCTTCACCATAGCGAAATACAACCCTGGTCATAGTTTGTAAATGGCATCTGAGCCTTACCATCATCTCAGACGTGAAAGACAAAGATGCAATTCTTTCCTGTCATGTGAAGATCTAATGGGAACGAAAGTGTTTCAAAATGCAAGTGTAAACGCTCCCAGGACGAATTTAAACCAGATACAAATGCGATCGCTCATACCACTTCAGGAGATGGTCTGAGAAACACTTGAGCCACATGTTATAGCAGTGCAAGCGCATCTGTCTCTCCAAGGCACATTCAACAGCAAAAATCCTTCCCAGTACAATCGAAACTCCTCCCCATGCAGTACGTCACTGGGCACGTGATTCGTGTCAAAGAGGAAGATAATTATAGGGCACAGCCATGGTTGGGGAGCAGGCAAAACAAAATGCCCAATAGCAATATTGAAAGAGAGTACTGTGCAAAACAAAGTGCAGACAAAGAGGCTGGACGTTTAAACAATTGGAAACCGCTTGCCGCGTAACGAGCGGATTTGCGTATTCCGTCCCACGCAGCAATCGGATTTCACTCCGACTAACCGGAGACACGTTCGACCGCCAAGCGGAAATGCATGTGGCTAAAGGACAAAATCCAGATACCAGTCACATCAAGTGAGCAGGTGTAATCAGGGTCAAAGACATGCTCAGAATGTGGTGGCATCTGTGTGTAGGAAGTCGAATCTTCTTAGAAGTTTGACTGAAACGTTATTGAAAGCGTTTTTCACCCCTTTTTGTAAAGCGTCTTGCTGAATGAGTGTATTCAACTTAGGTGAGCTTTGTTTGTTTTGTTCAGCTGATTTCCCGGTAACTATTTTCAAAAAGGCTTTTTAATTTGCCAGTGGATGGATAGTGGGATTTTGAAGCATGGTCCCCTCTAAATCGTAGAGTGTGGCTCTCCAGGAACGCGTGCAATTTGATGGGCAAAAATTTAGAAGACAAAGCCGTGGTTCTGTCTGTCTGTCAACAAAATAAACTTTTACCATTACTTTCTTGGGAAATGTCTGGGAAAGGAAGCGACACGGCGGTTTGGCGTAGGGTAGCGTTTCCGAGGGGTCGAAGGCGTGGGATTAAGCTTCGATGGATTACCGCCGGACTGAGGCCGCAGAATGTCACGAAAAGGAAGTGACAGGGAGCTGTGGCGGGCGGTAGCGTGGCCGAGCGGTCTAAGGCGCTGGATTAAGGCTCCAGTCTCTTCGGGGGCGTGGGTTCGAATCCCACCGCTGCCAGGACAGCTTTTGAGGAAAAACCCGTCAAGGTGTATGACAGCATTCAAGGGCTTCTAAGTCCTATCGTGTGTGGCTTTACTGAATATCAGCCACAGCAATGATGGTAGCAGGAAGTACTGCCTTGAAGTGTCTTGCACTTTCACTGTCTTCTGCTGCTTTCATAAAGAGGCAAGTTTATTCTGAGCCTGCGCCATCATACAGAAACCAGAGTTCCTTCAAAGCGCCTACCTTCGGCTTTTACGTCCCGAGGTAGTGTGGCCGAGTGGTCTAAGGCGCTGGATTTAGGCTCCAGTCTCTTCGGAGGCGTGGGTTCGAATCCCACCGCTGCCAGTCAGGGTTTTGCGAACACTCTAGATCGCACCTAGCAAGGGCTTTATTGACAGTGGCCTTCCAGAGACTTGGCATCCTGCTTAATGCGAAATAACCAGCAGCCGTTTCATCATGCCTGACCTCTGTGCTGACCTCTCTAATCATTCGAAGCGTGTTGCTGTCTGTTCTCAGGGCAGCAAGAAAATCAGCCATAGCGAAATACAACCCTGGTCATAGTTTGTAAATGGCATCTGAGCCTTACCATCATCTCAGACGTGAAAGACAAAGATGCAATTTTTTCCTGTCATGTGAAGATCGAATGGGAACCAAAGTGTTTCAAAATGCAAGTGTAAATGCTCCCAGGACGAATTTAAACCAGATACAAATGCGATCGCTCATACCACTTCAGGAGATGGTCTGAGAAACACTTGAGCCACATGTTATAGCAGTGCAAGCGCATCTGTCTCTCCAAGGCACATTCAACAGCAAAAATCCTTCCCAGTACAATCGAAACTCCTCCCCATGCAGTACGTCACTGGGCACGTGATTCGTGTCAAAGAGGAAGATAATTATAGGGCACAGCCATGGTTGGGGAGCAGACAAAACAAAATGCCCAATAGCAATATTGAAAGAGAGTACTGTGCAAAACAAAGTGCAGACAAAGAGGCTGAACGTTTAAACAATTGGAAACCGCTTGCCGCGTAACGAGCGGATTTGCGTATTCCGTCCCACGCAGCAATCGGATTTCACTCCGACTAACCGGAGACACGTTCGACCGCCAAACGTAAATGCATGTGGCTAAAGGACAAAATCCAGATACCAGTCACATCAAGTGAGCAGGTGTAATCAGGGTCAAAGACATGCTCAGAATGTGGTGGCATCTGTGTGTAGGAAGTCGAATCTTCTTAGAAGTTTGACTGAAACGTTATTGAAAGCGTTTTTCACCCCTTTTTGTAAAGCGTCTTGCTGAATGAGTGTATTCAACTTAGGTGAGCTTTGTTTGTTTTGTTCAGCTGATTTCCCGGTAACTATTTTCAAAAAGGCTTTTTAATTTGCCAGTGGATGGATAGTGGGATTTTGAAGCATGGTCCCCTCTAAATCGTAGAGTGTGGCTCTCCAGGAACGCGTGCAATTTGATGGGCAAAAATTTAGAAGACAAAGCCGTGGTTCTGTCTGTCTGTCAACAAAATAAACTTTTACCATTACTTTCTTGGGAAATGTCTGGGAAAGGAAGCGACACGGCGGTTTGGCGTAGGGTAGCGTTTCCGAGGGGTCGAAGGCGTGGGATTAAGCTTCGATGGATTACCGCCGGACTGAGGCCGCAGAATGTCACGAAAAGGAAGTGACAGGGAGCTGTGGCGGGCGGTAGCGTGGCCGAGCGGTCTAAGGCGCTGGATTAAGGCTCCAGTCTCTTCGGGGGCGTGGGTTCGAATCCCACCGCTGCCAGGACAGCTTTTGAGGAAAAACCCGTCAAGGTGTACGACAGCATTCAAGGGCTTCTAAGTCCTATCGTGTGTGGCTTTACTGAATATCAGCCACAGCAATGATGGTAGCAGGAAGTACTGCCTTGAAGTGTCTTGCACTTTCACTGTCTTCTGCTGCTTTCATAAAGAGGCAAGTTTATTCTGAGCCTCCGCCATCATACAGAAACCAGAGTTCCTTCAAAGCGCCTACCTTCGGCCTTTACGTCCCGAGGTAGTGTGGCCGAGTGGTCTAAGGCGCTGGATTTAGGCTCCAGTCTCTTCGGAGGCGTGGGTTCGAATCCCACCGCTGCCAGTCAGGGTTTTGCGAACACTCTAGATCGCACCT